GGGACCAGGGCATTCTGCCCAAAGTTTTTTTCTAGCTGCCTTATTTAGGAGCTTGTGAACGCTCAAGGCGATGTATTTGGCCACATGTTCCGTGGGATACAAGTCTTAGTAGAGACCTTGAATGGGCTTTGATCAGGAGAGGACCTGCCTAAAACCGAAGTGTAGATACCCACAGACTCATGGAATACCTTTTCTGAAACCAACTCAACTTGGAAGTGTCAGGGAGAGCCTTAGCTATCTTCCATTTCCTCACTGATTTTGCCCGGCTTTTGTTCATGGTGCAACCATGTTCTCATGAGTAACAGGATGTACTCTGTCCAAGTTTAAAATTATGGATGACAAATGTTACATAACTCGGAAAACCGGCAAGACACATCATGGCCCTAGATGACAGTTACACAAGGGGAATATACGACCACGAAGGTCTGATGAGATACACCACCACATGACACACACTCAAAACCCAACATGACAAACACCCCCCCACCCCCGACTAGAGAGACAAGAAACAAGACGCACAGGCAGATATGGCTAATACCCACAATGCAATAGGAACACGACAACACCACACACGGGGGAACTAAAGGACCACAAACGGCCACTCTCTCTTTCCGGAAAATTAAACTAACACAAGATCCATGAACCTGACCCCACAACAGTGGATCTAAGAGTCCTAAACACACCACATCATCATAACAACACCACTACACACCAATGGAGACCTAAAGGTCCAAACGAAGATCGACACACTCACGACATAGGGGACCATCCCTTATCTCCACACAACCTGACAAAGTCAGCAACCCCAACACAAGGTTCAAATACACCCACAGAAAGACAGGAGTCAAGAGACTGGGAAAGCATACACGGGAAAGCCTAGGCTTAGACTCCTGACATATATCAACGGACCTGCAAACTCAACTCATACGAGTCTGAGGTTTTGGAAGTTGTATGATTCACCTGAGACCTGTGCGTCTCACTGTTTAAAGGTTTAATAACGTACTCATTACTCATAGAGACTACTTGTCAAAGCCAATCACTCAAAAAATAAATAAATATATAAATAAATAAAAAAGTAAAAAGCAAAGGAGATAACAGATCTACATTACACATAAGAAGTTAGAATGTTCGGAACACTATATAAGAATATTGGTTATTGTTTGTATCATACGTGATTTATTGTAAAATGGTAACACATTGTAACGCTGTAATTTCAGACGTCTGCATAATAAAGAAATGTACACATAAAATTATGGAGGAATGTTTCCCAGTGTGATGGGACTTACTGGTAGCCTTTGGCGATGCAGATGTGTCATTGGTATCACCTGAGAAGGGGCACCATTTGGATGCTAGACACGTAGTATGGCATGACTAATGGAGTGAGAAAGATTATCTGATATCACTCCCATGGCAGTATAGATCGCCTGTGTGACCGATTTGATTGTTGTGGCATCATGGAGAGAATGGAATTCTTCAGAATTAATTTGCTACTGTGAAGTAATTTAATCCCCAGAAAGTAAAGGGTTCCCAGATTGGACAAGAGACAATTAGCTTATTGCATAATGCAAGGGATGTAGGCAAAACAAAACTGGTAATGTGATATATAGAATGGGTACAGGCACAGATAATGGATAGAAAACAGAGGTGGGCAATAATAGGGTAGAGATACCTGCAACTTAAATAGTCCACCAGTGAGTAGACAGGTTAAGGTAGCCCAGGCAATACTCAGTCACACTAAGGATCAGTACACTAAATCAATAGCACATACAATATTAAGCATGAGCTAGCTCACCGAGTGTACTCTCAGGAATGGCCTGAGGAGAATACAGGCAAGGTGCCCAGCAACAAGAGTAGCCAATCAGGATGCTCGCTTGCCTGAACAAAGGCGTTGCGAGAAAGGAAAAATTCTGCAAAAACTGCCCACCCAAAACAATGGCCGCCATTATTCGCCCCGAGCCAAGAGGGAGTGGAAGCACACCAAACAGCCCCACATGGGTTAAGACCAGCCGAGAGGGACAGGGTTTAGGGGTAGCCATGAGGGAGGAGGGAACCCCTTAATTGGACGAGAGCAAAGATCCACAATTCTTTCTTTGCTGCTGAAGAAATAAAATAAAGAGATGTGCATAATATGAGCCTCTGTGTCGTCTAATAACATATAGAATTATCAATGTAAGAAGACTAGTGGTTAAATGGCCAGGTCTTCATGCTTTTGCGAAACACTCATTACTGTTGTGTTCTGATTAGCATTGCTTATAAGCTCTGTCCGCAGCACGTGGAGTTTATCTCCTCTTGGTGTGAAATTATCTAACTAATTACAGAGACTCCCTTGAGATCCCAGCCATTATTAAGTCACTGATTTCATCCTAGGCCATGAATTCCACGTGCCACCGGCCAGAATTTTCATGAATGCTGAATTCATAGTGTCCACAATTACAGGGCAATCTGCCAATCTTATTTTATATCTGCCAATTCCCATATGAGCTAAATGCAAGTCGTGTTTGGCTCACATAATCTAATTAACTTTGATTTGATTTCTAAAGTAGGCCATTTTTTGGCTTGCTTGGCTCTAGGGAATGGGGCATTTAAACACATGTACACAGAATGAGAAATATACAGAATTCTGGGAAATTCAAAGTAAGTTTCAAATCATTTAATTTTTTCTGATTTTTTATTTTATTTTAAATTTTTCTTGTGTATGATACGCAAATATGATTATAACATATTCAGGTTAGGATACATATCGAAACATTGGACAGAGACAATGCTAGTAGGCTTTTTTTTTTTTTTTACAATTCTTTATTTTTGTCATGCATCAAATAAACAAACAGCCTCGGTACGCAACAATAGCAGAATCGAGGTATAAATACGTACAATGTGCGTAACCAAGTGTGGTATTCAATATACTGGCATGTTTTTATTAATGAATGAAAAGTAGCTGAATCATTGTAGTGTGGTCAAGGATGATTGTTATGTAAGTTACAGTTCCCGTTTTTAGAGCTATATGATTAAATGAAAAGTAAACAGTTAAGTGTAGTTTATAACATATATGTTAAGTATGAGAGCTGCGAACTAAGTGGGGTTCGCTGCTGAATATGGCGGGTATTCGCTCTCCTTATGGCTTAAAAGATACTAAAATAGTGTGTGCTGTGACCACTGTTGGTGCTGGCTAGGGGACTTCCTCTGAGTTTGGTGTTACCTAAAGGGTTTGATGCTGGGTGTCCTCTGAGCCCTTTTTCATGTGTTAAGTTGTTTAGGCCGTGTGCATGGGGATATAATAAGTGTTTGCCCGCGGTGTGCGGGCAAATTAGGCAGGTGAAAGCTCTAGAGTGGGCTTTTTCTATCTGAGTAAGTTCGCCCAAGTTATTGTGGGTGCCAGTGTTGGGTACTGGTCGCCCGGTTAATATGGATAAAGCACCCCGCGTTCACCAGGAGTGGACCGAGCAGCCTGCCGTGTCTGTTTAAGAGGTCAGCCGCAACTCCCAGCCGGTCCCGCTCTAGGCTGCAAATCAAGTGGGTCGGAACAGTGCCGCTGTTAACTTCAGGTAGCATCACTGAAGTGCTCAGCGACACGCGGACACGTCCAGGCATCAGCTCTGCTTGATTCAGCCGTTGGGTTATCTCGATTGCCACAGATTAGTTGAGTATTTGTGGAGCTTGTGCCCGATGCGACCGCTCGACATGGCGGTCAAGCTGCACCCCTGTGAATTTAACATTTTTAATCAAAATAGCCTAACTGGCGGCAATGCTGACTTATAGAATATTTTCAATTCAGCTTTGTTGACCTTAGATTTGAAATTTACTTTGAATTCCAGACAATCCTTGCTTTAGTGAAAAGCCCTGATTTTGACAGCCCATGAAAGCTGACAGGCCCATCTAGCGTGCACATTTACATTCTTGAACTCTTCCGTTTTAAAAATCTCAGTCACCTCGCTGGAACACTTTGCCATCCATCTACAACTCTTTTTGAGAGCAAGCATTTCTTGACATTATGCATAATCCAACTTTTAATCGTTCCGCCTTCAAGTCAAATTCACACTCAAAGAAAATATTAACTTGTTCCATACAAGGTTTGGAAGTTAAAGGTAAACGGAACCCACGTATTTTCAGTTAAGTTGTACTGCTGACATGATAAAATAGATGTCACGTAAACAGTACTGTTAAAAAAAGCCTGCCTACTATTTAATACGTTACCTTTGCTCCCGAAGCAGAACTTCAGACCCCCCTGCACATTAATTCAGACATTAGATGAGTTTTCTGATACTAGCACGTTTATAAAAATAATAATAATCTTGTCTGCAACATGGAGAATGGTGAAATTAGTATCTAAATGACCGTGTACAGGTGCTCCCTCCTGCTGAAGTGATGTTTTTGGGTGAAATTGCCCTGGATAAAAAAACGCTGGTAAAAAAAACAAAAACGTGTTCCTGCTTGGGCCCTGTGTAATCGTAATCCCTGCCAGTTTATAGTGATTTTAAAACGTAAAGGCACCATTTAGACTACAATGGCCAAGCTGAGACTATAGTTGAACTGGAAGGATGTTTCAATTTAATATTCAGAATTCAATAGCTAGACCTCAGCTTACAGACAGGGCCCTGGTTTCCTTTTGTATTGCTCTGTTTATTTATTTTACTGTCTCTTTCTCCAATTGTGCAGCGCTACGAACATGTTGGCGCTTTATAAAATTCAGTTTTAATAATAAATAATTCAGTATAATTTGGTATAATTTAGTGAATAAACCCCCAGGTGTATTCTAGTCTGGAGTATCCTTTTAAAAGCAGATTTTCAATATTAAAAGCTAGTTTGTTCTCCCAAACTTTTGGTCTTGAATCCACAAATACCATAAAGAAAGGACATATTAATTACATGGCAAAAGATGCTGAAACTCTTTAATTAATAACTAATAAATGAATTCACTGCCCATAATGCTGTACAGCTGCTGATTCCCTGATAGAGCGGAACCTTTGTGCTGGCTCTGTGTTTCCGGGTGGGAAGGTTTTTCAGAGCGGACTCCCTGCAGAAGGGAAGCGTTGCCATGGCTGCGGGAGGCGAGCTGCAGGACTGATGGTACCCCTGGCAGCCCTGGGACGGTCAGTGGCCTGGGGGCAGGATGAAGGTGAGTCCATACTCAGTAAGAGCAGTGACAGTCATAGCCAGTGTAACTGTGCGATCCGTGAATACATTGTAATCTGATTATAGCTGTATGGGGGGGAGGGGAGGGGCTGGTAATGGAAATCTGAGAGTGTACCATGAATCCTGCAACTGGTGGGCGGCCAATGGCTGGCCATCACTGGGATTATATAGTGTAAGGAATACAAATAATTAATAATAATAATAATATTTATATAGTGTCATTACTGGGATTATATAGTGTAAGGAATACAAACTATTATTATCATATTTATATAGTGCCATTACTGGGATTATATAGTGTAAGAAATACAAATTATTATTATATTTATATAGCGCCATCACTGGGATTATATAGTGTGAGGCATACAAATTATTATTATTATTATTATTTATATAGTGTCATTACTGGGATTATATAGTGTAAGGAGTACAAATTATTATTATTATTATTATTATTATTATTATTATTATAATATTTATATAGCGCCATCACTGGGATTATATAGTAAGGAATGCAAATCATTATTATTATTATTTATATAGTGTCATTACTAGGATTATATACTAAGGAATACAAATCTGTATTATTATTATTATTATTATTATTATTATTATTATTATTATTATTTATATAGCGCCATTACTGGGATTATATAGTGTAAGGAATACTTATTATTATATTTATATAGCGCCATTACTGGGATTATATAGTGTAAGAAATACAAATTATTATTATTATATTTATATAGCGCCATCACTGGGATTATATAGTGTGAGGCATACAAATTATTATTATTATTATTATTAATATAGTGTAAGGAATACAAATTATTATTATTATATTTATAAGAGTTGACTGGACTTATCTGCAGGAGACCCTGGGAAGCATGGGGTTTGGGCCAGGTCTAAGGGCATGGGTGGCGGCGCTGTACACGGATCCAACGGCGCGTATACGGGTGAACGGAGCATTAACGGGTGTGTTCCGGATTTCCAATGGCACGCGTCAGGGCTGCCCGCTGTCCCCCCTCCTGTTTGCTCTCACACTGGAGCCCTTCCTGGAGGCGGTGAGACGAGATGGGGGTATAGTGGGGTGCCTGGTAGGGGGGGAGGAGCATCGGGTGGCGGCATACGCCGATGACATGCTCTTCCTCCTCGAACAGCCCAGAATCTCGCTACCGAACCTAATAGAAGCTTTCCGACTCTATGGCTTAGTTTCTAACTTGAAGCTCAACATGGCCAAGTCGGAACTGATGCCACTCACACGGGACCCGGCACTTCGTAGACACATCCAGGCGCATTTCCCCTTCCGGATTTGCTTGCACAAACTACGGTACATGGGCATCTGGATACCGTGTGATCTAACTCAAGCATACTCCTTGAATTTTGCCCCCCTACTCACAACTCTACAACAAGATATGAAGCGCTGGGCCCCCCAATATATATCCTGGTTCGGACGCATAAATGCCATTAAAATGAATGTCATGCCCCGTATATTGTATTTGTTCCAGACGATCCCAGTCATTATACCAAGGAACTTCTTCCAAACGTTGTCATCCGCCTTTAAGCAGTTCGTATGGAACCGGAGAGCTGCCCGTATTCGGCAGTCGATCCTGGAACGTCCTAGAAGTGAGGGAGGCATGGGCTTGCCTTCGGTCCTTACTTACTACCGGGCTACACACTTGGCTCGTCTGGTGGACTGGCACGCTGCTCCTAGCGGGAAGCGGTGGGTAGACATGGAAAAGACGCAGGCAGGGGGAGGCAAAAGACCGTCCCAGTTGTGGCTGGGAGATGCCACGTTCCAGGAACTGCGAACGGGCAACCCCTTGGTGGATGCAACTTTAAAGGTCTGGTGTGGCATCCGGTTCCCTCAACAACTCACGTCATCGCCAAATCCACTTACGCCCGTGACGCATAACCCAAGACTGGCAGGTGGACTCTCCCCAGGTGATCTGAGGAACTTTGGGGCCACGGACTGGATCTACCTGCACCAATGGTGTAATGGTCCGAACCTCAAACCGTTGGCTACGCTGCTCCAAGACCGCAGACCCAGCGGCTTGGACAACTTCCGGTACTACCAGCTTAAAACCTATGTAACCTCGCTAACTGGGAAGGCACACCTCCACCGCCCACTGTCCCACTTCGAACAAATCTGTGCCGCCAGACAGCATCTCATCCATGGCATAGCGCAACTCTACTCCATGCTGCAGAGTTGCGAAGACCAGGCCCCACTAGGGTTCACGGCACGGTGGGAGAGGGAAGCAGGGGTCGAGCTATCTACCTCTGAATGGCAAAAGATCTTTCAACTGACGCACAGGGGGACCATTTGCTCCAAGTTCCAGGAGTGCAACTACAAGATACTGGTGCGGTGGTATAGAACTCCGGACATCCTTCGTCATGTCCACGAATCTCTCTTAGGAGAGTGCTGGAGGTGTGGAGATGCGGATGGCTCGGGGATCCACATGTGGTGGTCGTGTCCCCGCATCGAACCTTTCTGGAGAGCGATACATAAAGGGATTAAAGATGTTACCGGGACGGACATCCCATTCCAGCCGCTGCCAATGCTACTGAATCATACGAGCATGCCTATTTCCGCTTACAAGAAGGGCTTGGTGATACACCTTCTCACGGCAGCAAAATCCCTCATCCCCACGCTCTGGAGAAGTCAGGTAGCCCCCTCGCTCCACCAATGGATTGACAGGGTGGAAACGATTTACAACATGGAATTGATGACTGCGTCTCTGCAGGGGCGCTCGGATAAATGTGCGCTCACATGGTTTCCTTGGACGGAGTACACGGCCAGGGGGGCCGCGGGGGGAGACCGGTCCGGGGAAGGTGGCGCTCCCGCACCGGTACGGCTTTCCTCACCCACAATGACTTGACTGTGCCCGAGGTGCCTTCCTGTTTAGGGGGGGGGCACACTTCCCCATCCAGGCGACTATGACTTCCCTTCACACGCCCCTACGTCCCTCCCAGACAGAGGACACACGGAGACACTTACACGAGAGTAGGCTCACGGGCTCACTCACCCCCTAACTTAGCATTCAGAGTGTTTTGGGGAAGGGGGCTGGAAGTACAGAGCAAGGACTGGAGCTAGTACACGGCGGCATAGGGGGATAGCGGGTTGGTGAGGCTTCTGAATATCTTGGGTGCTGGTGGGAGTTGTACAGGACGAGGGGGGTCGGAGTGGAGGGATGGGGGCTAACAAAGCATCCAGATGGTACGGGGGGAGGTCCTCTGGCGCCTTTAGCCTCACACACTTGGCTCACCCTGGGCCTCAGACTCGATACAGGCGGTGGTACCTGATTTGACCCTTAGGGGGCTCAGGATACTTACGCTAGGGGAGGAGAAAGGGCACGGTGGCCTCGGAGGGCAACCTGCAGCGGACGGACCTCGCCCACGAACCATCGATCCAGTGTAGGAGGTTGGGGGGTACCGAGGGAATTCTGGGCCAGGGGCGAACCCATTAGAGGGCCGCCTAGAATACGGTGGCAGGGGCAACATGCAGTTTAGAATGCCCGTTCCAAAGGCAAAAGGTCAAGCCATATATTCCATGCCCCACCCGGCACATGAGTCACATGTGCTCTCCGGTGGTCCCGAGATTGCGGTCCTGTTTGCCTCTCAGATGTATCAGCGCAGTCTAAACTCTAGCTTCATTCAAATGCTAAGACTCTGTCAAATTCCCAGATGTTATGGCGGCCTACCTGGAGTATGTTACTTTTTTATACCTGGCTCCTGTATAAGGAGATGAACATGCTGTATTGACCTAAACGTGCTGTATAAAATAAAATGGAAAAATAAAGATTGTCAAAAAAAAACAAATTATTATTATTATATTTATATAACGCCATCACTGGGATTATATAGTAAGGAATACAAATCATTATTATTTATATAGTGTCATTACTAGGATTATATAGTAAGGAATACAAATCTGTATTATTATTATTATTATTATTATTATTATTATTATTATTATATTTATATAGCGCCATTACTGGGATTATATAGTGTAAGGAATAATAAATATTTGTATTCCTTACACTATATAATCCCAGTAATGGCACTATATAAATATAATAATAAGTATTCCTTACACTATATGATCCCAGTAATGACGCTATATAAATATAATAATAATTTGTATTCCTTACACTATATAATCCCAGTAATGATGCTATATAATAATAATTTGTATTCCTTACACTATATAATCCCAGTAATGACACTATATAAATAATAATAATAATTTGTATTCCTTACACTATATAATCCCAGTAATGACGCTATATAATAATAATAATAATTTGTATTCCTTACACTATATAATCCCAGTAATGACACTATATTAATAATAATAATAATAATAATTTGTATTCCTTACACTATATAATCCCAGTAATGACGCTATATAAATATAATAATAATTTGTATTCCTTACACTATATAATCCCAGTAATGGCACTATATTAATAATAATAATAATAATAATAATAATTTGTATTCCTTACTATATAATCCCAGTAATGACACTATATAATAATAATAATAATATTTATATAGCGCCATTACTGGGATTATATAGTGTAAGGAATACAAATCTGTATTATTGTTTATATAGCGCCAGCAAATTCTGTAGCGCTGTACAGTGGGACCAATCATTATAGTGCCCTTCCGCCTTGTAGGATGGAAGCGTTTGGGGAAAATTAGTGCTTATTTGCAAATTGATGTGAATTGTAAAATTCGGGATAAAATAACTAATTTGACATAGCTTGGTTGAAGTCTTATTAATCTGTTATTTTAGCGTGAATTATGCAATTCAGTTTTCTGTTAACTACTAACGCTTAGTTGATAAATTTCAAGGTGTATCTGCCGGCCTGATTGGGACCATTCCAAACAGCCTTGCTGTAATCAGCAGTTTATATTTTGGATAATATTTAGATTCCCCGTAGCGGAGCCCAGTAACCACAAGTCCCCAACAAGCTAAAAAATGAAATATAAAATCTTGCTTCACACCTGTATCTTTAGTTTACTTCATCCCCATTCCTGTCCAGTTTGTTTTACTTTTATTTTTGCTCATTCCTTGCTCTACACTCACAATACCTTTTTTTTTATTTTTTTTTAAATAACAAAAGAAACCCTTAGATTTGCTATTCGTTTGTTCGTTATTCAGTTTCCAGTGTCTTCAGTCAATTAACCTGTTAGAATAGGAAATGGTTATTGAAAAAGCAATAAAGTTGACCTGTCATTTTACAATGCCTTATTTCTGGTTCTAGGTGTGATGACCAGCTGTTTCACACAAACAAGGGAGATCTGTCAAATGATTCAGTTCTTTTTCATCCCCTCAGGATGCTTTGAAGATGTGTGACTGTAAGAGATTCATGGAAATGTTCGTTTAACAGGATCACTGTCTAAAACAAGTTTGTCTGTATGTGATGACCTAAAACAGATATTCCTTAGTACTTTGTCCCCTGCTGGAAGTACTCATTATTAGCCTCTAAAAGAACGTTTTGCCTTTCTGGCATTGAATTAATATAGTGCCATCTTCGAGTCTACCTTCAACAGCGCAATGAGCGGTGGACGTCTCCCGTTAGCTGAGAAGGCTTTGTCTGAAGGATATGCCAGGTTGAGGTACAGAGACACTTCGCTTCTCATCTGGCAACAGCAACAACAGAAGTTGGAGAGCGCCCCTCGTGGTACATATCTGAACCGCAGCCAGAGCATGTGGTACTCGCAGTACGGGAACCAGTCCATATTAGTCCGGGACAAAAACACACTCAGTATTTCAAGAGACACCGGCCAGTCTAAGTTTTGCACAGTAATGTGATTTTTAGTGTTCTATTCAACATTTACGCACATATAGCTGTTTCAGCAGTGTAGTATGCCAAATTGTATTGTATGTTACTGTAAATCTCCTATGAGCTGCATGTTAGGATATGATTTTCCACAGTATTTTATAAGGTTGTGACATTTTATGAGTGCACCATACGTTTTTTGCAGTTGGTCCATATACCATGACACACTTAAAGGGGAAAGGTTTGAGGATCTTAATTTTATATTTTATAGATTGCTTAAATTATTATTCACCATTAAACATTTTTAAAAAAATTAAAAAGACTCAGCGTAGATTTGATCCATCATTATTTATGCCTCTGTTTGCATTGAAAATACACCTGAAGGTTTCAGTGCCCATAAACAAATATTGGGATACTTTGACAGAGTTGTGGTCGCACCATAATCGGTACAATATAAGACACAATCTAGGCATCACCACCTCTGTAGTTGTAATGGTGCTATTAGGCTGTGGGTGCCATCTCCCAGTTAAATAAATGCATCTGGATTGGGAGCGTTCAACATATCCATGCAAAACGTGGAGAATGTAGACATCCGTATGCAATCTTTGCAGGACCAAACCCAGGATGCCACACTAGTGGCTGTCTATCATTCACTAGAGGTGGTGTAATAGAGCAGTGTACAATCTGCAAAGGCAACACTTGCACTGCAGAGGCCACGTGTAACAGAACCATTACATTAAGCTGTAGTGTTCCTGATGACTAGTGTGTTTTTTTTTTTTTTTTTTAAAGAACTGCTTGTAGTTTAGGCTTTATATTTATACTATTAACACAGTCCCATTTTAATGATTTCTAAGGCAAATTTACTCTATTGTAAAGGCACAAAAAGCCCACAGCAAATCTAATTTATATAAATAGTGCCAAAAAATTGTGCAGCACTGGAATATATATTTGGGATCTTTATAAAGAACATCGAGGCATGTCTGCATGAACTTGGAAGGCGGTGGCTAAAGATAATACAGTTCAGTATTTTGCATTTCTTTTCCTTTTTTTGCATATATACTATCCAGAGTATTTTCTGTTTTATAGCATGAGAGAAAAGGCTGCTTTCTATGTTTCATCATTGAAACTCTATAACCAAACCATTGTTAATATTTGCTTTGTATATGTTTAAATATGTGAGCATTATATGCTTACTGTATCCAGGTACAGTTGCCATATCAACAGTGTTTTCCTGATGCACAACTTTTTCATGCTGCTTGGACGTACGTAGAATTCGATTGATAGCAAGACTTGACAAGACTTCACCCCCCCTCACTATTTTCAGTAAGGAAAAGTGGTACACCTCTGTGGAGGTACAGGATGTCTCTGCATAAGGGGGCAGTTTTTCCCCCAATCCATTTGCACTCCAGTACAGAATGCTTATGTCCCATGTTGGGTGCATGGTATGACATTGTATCTTCCTGGCTGAATACAGAACTAGGAGAGTGGGAGAAAAGCTGTCTCTACCTGAGACGGCCTACACGCCCTGGTGATGATAGGTCTTCTGACCTCCCATCTCCTCGCTACTGTTGTGTATATTTTAGTGCTTGTTTAAGTATACATTCTAATCTTCAAAGAAATTTTGTCAAACTACTCTAAAAGCTTCATTCAGCTCTGGATTCAACATACTGCCAAACTCTACAAAGAAGTTACCTATTGAGGAAAATATGTTGGCAACTGTAGTCCGAGGAATACGCAAACACCTAAGGTGCTCCTCTGCACAAGATCCTGTATACATAGCATCTAAAACCAGTAAATAAGCGGAATAAGAACTTCATAACAGACTTTCCATATGTAATCATGTTTTGTTTTATAATCTCAATCTGACCATAGGTAAAATAACTTTACAAAGCTTTAGCAAAGACTCATGGATTATGACTTCTAGTTTAACCCCTTAAGGACCAAACTTCTGGCATAAAAAGGAATCATGACATGTCACACGTCCTGTGTCCTTAAGGGGTTAAATAGTTGGTAATGTACATGTTGACTCGCCCCTTCCTGTAGGTACTTGATTGCAATGAATGCCTTGCATATCCTCTATTTGACAATGAATGGGTGAATGCAAGCAGTTTAAGAATTAAATGGATATGAATTAAGGAATTCTTAATAGTTGCTCCATAATGCACACTTTCAATAAAGTGAAGATGTTTATGAAAATGCTTGTTTTGTATATGTTTACACTTTTTACAATGGGAGATGTAATACTTATAAACAAAGGTTTACAACAAAATGGTCCTGTAAGTTAACACTATGAACAGTTAAAGCAGCACTGTTAATGCAAGTTTTCAAAACGGTAAAAATCTTTACAGAAAAAAAAAAAATCACTTAGATTTTATTGAAACTCCAATGTATTCAAAGTCAGGGCTGCTGCCTTATGAACAAGGCTTTCGGGCAAAATGTAAGGGCTTCAGGCAGTAACCAGGGCCAGGTTAAGAGCCCAGTGGGCCTGGTGCTGGCAATTGTGATGGGGCCTAATTACAGAATCTTATTGACCAAAAACACAAACGGTCATACCTCTCAATCGGCATGTATCTGATGGTGTTGGAGGGAAACTCAAAGGATGCAGCTATAAGAAAACACATACTCTATGCTAATCTCTTTATCTAATTTATACTTTCATCTTTCAAGTAAATCCATACCCCCTAACAGCAGTGTCCAGTGAAGCAGGAAGTCAATGGGCGGGGTAAAAGGATGGGCCACTGACGCGAATCACGTGACCAGAACTGCCAAAAGGGGCGAACATGCCCAAAAAGGGGGCATGTCTGTCTAAAGAATTGGAAGGCCAGCCTGGCATCAGTGTCCCTATGTCGCCCAGTCCCCTAGTCTCCCAGTGTCAGTGTCCCCATGTCTCAGTGTGTCCCGTGTCACTAGGATACTAGAGGAAACTGAGACCCGGGGACACTGAGACACTTGGGGACACTGGGAGACATAGGGGCACTAGTGGATACAGACATGGGGACACTGGGAGACATGGAGACACTGATACATTTGGGGACACTGGGAGAAATGGGACCACAGACACTAGGGACACAGATACTGGGAGACATGGGGTCACAGACATTTGGGGAAACTAAGACACTAGGGACACAGACACTGGGAGACATAGGTGCACTGAGACACTGGCTGGGAGGCATGGGGACAGACATTTGGGGACACTAGGGACACTGGCTGAGAGACATGAAGACACAGACATTAGGGGACACAGGCACTGGGAGCCATGGAGACACCGTGTCCCTTGTGTCTCTGTGTCCCAATGTGTCTACCTATGTCTAACAGTGTCCCCATGTGTCACAACGTCCACGTCTCACAGTGTCCCCTAGTGTCTGTGTCCCCATGTTTCCCAGTGTGCCCTAGTGTTTCAGTGTCCCCATGTCTCCCTGCAGCCTTTCCCCCATCTTTCACATACCTGAGCTGAAGTCTGTCTCTGCAGACTGGGAGCTGCTGTCTGGACTCTCTGTGCTGTGTAGATGCTCCCCCGCGGATCAGTATTTAGAGAGAGGCAGGGAGATGCTGTAACGTCCTATCCCTGCCTCTCTCCATACACAGTGACCCCTACTGGCCGGTGCTGGTATTGCAGAGTAATCTCCGTTTATACTGAGAAAAATATTTGCATTTGTAGTGCCGGTATTACTGCAATACCGTCACAGCCAGGCAGCCTCAAATACCGGTTGTGCCTTAAAATACCAGTCAGGTGGCAAACCTAAGAATAGTGTGTTTAAAAAAAAAAAAAAAGGGTTTTTTAAAAAATTTTTTTAAATGAGCCTGGAGCTACAGCTCCATCAGCCCCTATGTTAATCCAGCCCTGGCAGTAACTGTCTGGTATATCCTACCTTTTCATCCCTTGATGTCTCAACATAACTGGCAGATTTAGCAGCTCGTTTTTTGTGTTTGAGATGATCAGTGGAACTCCATAGCAAGACGTGTATATAAACCTAAGTGATTGCTTCTTTGCAGCTTCCAGTGTTATTTTAGCAAATTAAACTCCAAATGGTCATATTTAGGTAAGACATTGCGGAGGAAGCCCTGTTGTATACAAACCAATGGCTCATTTTAATTGCCTCTCTTGTGACTGTTCATGACAACACTATTCCTGAAGCTTCCTGCATTTTCCCCAAGAATATCTGCCCAGACAGGACATTGAATGGGTCGATGAATCTAGCCCCATTGAGAATAAAACTTATGTCACACGCAGGCCATCTAAAAAAAAAACCAGTACATGTAAACTAAGAAAATCTAATGTCCAGAAATGAAAAGCTTAGTCTTGGCACCACTGTCAAATGTCAATAACTCATTACCAATTAACCCCTTAAGGAGCGGACTGTTTTTGCGATGTACATTTGCAACCAGGCCTCTTTTTACACTTTTGTGGTGTTTGTGTTTAGCTGTAATTTTTTTTCCGCTCTCTCATTTACTGTTCCTATACAAATTATATATTTTTTTTCAGGTCAAAAAAGGGCTTTCTATACATACCATTATTTATATAATCTCATGTAATTTAGTTTAAAAAAAAAAAAAAAAAATATGAAAAACTGAAAAAAAAAATACATGTTTTTTGACTTACTTAAATCTTTTACTCATCTACAAAAGCGAATGGGGAAAAAAACTGCTAAATAGATTAAAAATTTTGTCCTGAGTTTTAAAATACCCAGTGTTTACGTGCTTTTTTATTTTTTTTTTGCAAGTTATAGAGCTATAGGTACAAGTAGGATATTGCGGTTTTAAAAATGTATCACTAGTGACATTGTAACACTATTATCGGTCATAAATCTCTGAATAACACCCCACATGTACATATTTTTTTAAAGTAGACAACCCAGGGTATTCAATATGGGGTATGTCCAGTCTTTTTTAGTAGCCACTTAGTTGCAAACACTGGCCAAAGTTAGCATTCATATGTTTGTGTGTGAAAAAAGTAAAAAACTAAATTGAGCGCTAATTTTGGCCAGTGTTTGTGACTAAGTGGCTACTAAAAAAGACTGGACATACCCCATTTGCAATACCTTGGGTTGACTTATTTTGCAAATGGTATGCCATCATGGGGGTAATTCTCATTCCTGGGCTACCATACGCTCTCAAAGGCAACGTAACCAACCTTGACATTTTCAATGTAAAAATATTTGACCCCGTAACTTTCAAAAATGCTATAAAACCTGTACATGCGGGGTACTGTTATACTCGGGAGACTTTGCTGAACACAAATATTAGTGTTTAAAAACAGGAAAACGTATCACAACAATTATATCATCAGTAAAAGTGCTGTTTGTGTGTGAAAAATGCAAAAAGTAACTTTAACTGACAATATCATCGCTGTGATAGGTCTTACTGTTTTGAATCACTAATTTGTGTACTGAGACACTGGCTGGGAGGCATGGGGACAGACATTTGGGGACACTAGGGACACTGGCTGAGAGACATGAAGACACAGACATTAGGGGACACAGGCACTGGGAGCCATGGAGACACCGTGTCCCTTGTGTCTCTGTGTCCCAATGTGTCTACCTATGTCTAACAGTGTCCCCATGTGTCACAACGTCCACGTCTCACAGTGTCCCCTAGTGTCTGTGTCCCCATGTTTCCCAGTGTGCCCTAGTGTTTCAGTGTCCCCATGTCTCCCTGCAGCCTTTCCCCCATCTTTCACATACCTGAGCTGAAGTCTGTCTCTGCAGACTGGGAGCTGCTGTCTGGACTCTCTGTGCTGTGTAGATGCTCCCCCGCGGATCAGTATTTAGAGAGAGGCAGGGAGATGCTGTAACGTCCTATCCCTGCCTCTCTCCATACACAGTGACCCCTACTGGCCGGTGCTGGTATTGCAGAGTAATCTCCGTTTATACTGAGAAAAATATTTGCATTTGTAGTGCCGGTATTACTGCAATACCGTCACAGCCAGGCAGCCTCAAATACCGGTTGTGCCTTAAAATACCAGTCAGGTGGCAAACCTAAGAATAGTGTGTTTAAAAAAAAAAAAAAAGGGTTTTTTAAAAAATTTTTTTAAATGAGCCTGGAGCTACAGCTCCATCAGCCCCTATGTTAATCCAGCCCTGGCAGTAACTGTCTGGTATATCCTACCTTTTCATCCCTTGATGTCTCAACATAACTGGCAGATTTAGCAGCTCGTTTTTTGTGTTTGAGATGATCAGTGGAACTCCATAGCAAGACGTGTATATAAACCTAAGTGATTGCTTCTTTGCAGCTTCCAGTGTTATTTTAGCAAATTAAACTCCAAATGGTCATATTTAGGTAAGACATTGCGGAGGAAGCCCTGTTGTATACAAACCAATGGCTCATTTTAATTGCCTCTCTTGTGACTGTTCATGACAACACTATTCCTGAAGCTTCCTGCATTTTCCCCAAGAATATCTGCCCAGACAGGACATTGAATGGGTCGATGAATCTAGCCCCATTGAGAATAAAACTTATGTCACACGCAGGCCATCTAAAAAAAAAACCAGTACATGTAAACTAAGAAAATCTAATGTCCAGAAATGAAAAGCTTAGTCTTGGCACCACTGTCAAATGTCAATAACTCATTACCAATTAACCCCTTAAGGAGCGGACTGTTTTTGCGATGTACATTTGCAACCAGGCCTCTTTTTACACTTTTGTGGTGTTTGTGTTTAGCTGTAATTTTTTTTCCGCTCTCTCATTTACTGTTCCTATACAAATTATATATTTTTTTTCAGGTCAAAAAAGGGCTTTCTATACATACCATTATTTATATAATCTCATGTAATTTAGTTTAAAAAAAAAAAAAAAAAATATGAAAAACTGAAAAAAAAAATACATGTTTTTTGACTTACTTAAATCTTTTACTCATCTACAAAAGCGAATGGGGAAAAAAACTGCTAAATAGATTAAAAATTTTGTCCTGAGTTTTAAAATACCCAGTGTTTACGTGCTTTTTTATTTTTTTTTTGCAAGTTATAGAGCTATAGGTACAAGTAGGATATTGCGGTTTTAAAAATGTATCACTAGTGACATTGTAACACTATTATCGGTCATAAATCTCTGAATAACACCCCACATGTACATATTTTTTTAAAGTAGACAACCCAGGGTATTCAATATGGGGTATGTCCAGTCTTTTTTAGTAGCCACTTAGTTGCAAACACTGGCCAAAGTTAGCATT